CTAAGATGAAACGCTTCACACATGTACTGCTCGTTCAACAGCGCTGTCACAGAGCTAATAATCTCTTCCTTGGATGCAATAGTTAAATACAAAAATAAATTCAAGTACCTTGTTGCTAACCTATGTACACTATGAAACGAGAAAAGTTGTTCTGAAACAGGAGAATACTCTGAAAGAATATTCTCGAATATGCTTTCATCGTTTCCATATTACTAGAAGTTAGGTAATACCACTTTGTCCGAGGGTTTAATAGGGTTGTTAAAGGTCTGTCGAGAGATAAAGCGACAAGCATGGCCGCCAAAGGGTGGTCGCGTATGAACCACTGACGCGCGAGTTTTAAAAGCTGACGAAGCCTTTAAGGCGGGTTTAAGAAGCATTTGCAAATTGTTTCTTCTGTTTCGGCAGGATTTACGAGCGGATTAGTCGGACAGGAACGTATTAAATCATCCACCGTGTGAGGTTAATTTAATCCCTCGCAGTCAGAGTTACGTTCGGTGTTTTACCCTGGTTGGTCCGCGATTAATAAGCAGGCGAAGGCCTGTGATTATGTTCCCGTTGAGTGTATCTTTAACGCAGCGTAAAACGTTTCGTTTTAATTTCTCCCACTTTATAAAACCTAGAAGCTTATTAACATCCGAGGCGAATTAAATCCTACCGTATTCCCCAAAGAATTCGCAATTTTCGTAACCTGGTTCTACTTTTGATGGCTGGTGCTGCTATCGAAATATCACCGAAAGGAGATCAGAATTGCTAAAATATCTCATCGTTGTCTGAAAATAGCCGAGAAATCGTTACTTTCCACGTAACCTGTTCTCGAATCGTGGCAAGGTGCACTTCAAAAAATTTCCAAGCAATTCGAACCGTCTTTTGACCAATTTTACAACCCCCTAATCCAAAGATGGCGCGAAACAAATGACATACAGGTGACGCGAAGTGTCTAGACGAAATTACCCCTGTCACATTAGGCGGTTGCATCGATCTTTCAGCGAGAGGACGACGATCTTTCGACGAAAGGTCGATGCTTGGTGGTGGATGTTCCTTTCGTGGTCCCGTGGCTTCCGTTGGAAGAGTGAAAAGGGCCGGCGGCCGTGTAGTTTGTAAAGCAGACAGAGAGAGGCCACCGCGATGCATATAAATGATTGCAACGTGGAGAGGGTTGGTCGGGGGTGGATACAGTCCGATCGAGATTTAGACGTGGGGAGAGAGTTAGATGGAAGGTCGATAGTCGCGTGGAATACAAAGTAATTCTGGGCTGGCTCGAGCCGGGAAGAGAATCGGGGGCTGGGAAGTAAAAAGGGTCAGAGGAAACCGGGAAAGGATTCGGGGAATCGTACGCGTTTCCGTTGGAAATTTATACAAAAGGGCGGGAGGGGTGAGGTATGCTTATGGAGTTGACGAGAGATCGTTATCGAGGTTGGGAGTGAGCAAATAAGAAGAACCGAGTTGACTATTCTGTTGAAAATTACTAAACTTCGAGTAAAAGAATAGAATCCTTGCGGAAAAATTTGAAAATATTATTTTTCTTTTAAACAAAATGGCGTACGGTTGGCGTAAGTGGTACATCGACCAGGTGAAATCTTTCGAGCATAGAGAAACGAGCAATTCGAGATACTCGTCGTTCAATTTGAAATGGAACCCACTTTTCCTGAGAATTGCTGGTGGTCTTTTATCGAAAGTGCAGGTGGTTTCAAACGTTCGAGGCAGTGGCACGAAACACCGGCAATTTTCAATCTTTCTTAATACAAAATGCAACACGTCCAACACTGCACAAACGAACTTTTAACCCTGTGCAGAGTTAACTCGAGAGGCGAGCTTCAGTCGCCATTTAATAAAATTTTAGGGATCGATATTAATATACGATAGCTTTATCTTTAATTTAATTAATAATCACTCTCTTGATTGCTCCTCTCTTCTTATGCAAATTAATTTCTATGTGCCAGAACGTGTATTGAGATCCAGAGTACGTATTTTCATATACACATGTCCAGATCTACATATGGATTAATTAATCCAATTTATCGTATTATTACTGACTCGAGCACTCTTTATAATCGTATAGATTTCTTTATGAATCTTTACAAACTTTCAAAACACAATTACGGATAATTATTGATTAAAGCTATTCCTCCTGAACAAAGCGTTTATAAGCACGTTCCTTCGGTGTAGTATTATGTATAATTTATTTGCTTTTCTTTCATATGTGAAATTTTATGTAAATGGACTGCGGTCTGTTTATGCGTAAAATAATAATAATAATAATTAATATATTAAATTTAGAATAACGTAATAGTATTCGAGGCATTGAAATGGAACAATTCCACGTGCGAATTGTTATACGATTATAAAGATCGATATTAATTAACATATTTAAGTTAAGATAACGTAATAGTGTAATAGGTATTGAAATTGAATAATTCTACGTGTCAATTGTTATACGAACTTTTATTTACCATATTAAAAAATATTGTCGGCTTTATGGCAGAAAGTTGTAGAATTTCTATTATTCTGTAGCGAAAAAATCTTAGATCGCAAAGGGTTAAAATGGCACTGAAATGGTGACTAATAAATATACCGTACGATTGCCTTATTTCCATCGGAGTAAAAATTAATATCAATTTTCAAACGTAAATTTTAATTTCGAATTAATGCTTTCAACCCACTTCATGGCTCTATTATAGTTAATACAATAATTTACAAGACCGTTGTTCGACCATAAGCAAGACATTTCCAAGCGAGACGTAGCACAGACAAAGGGGCGCCATTTTTCGCGAAGGAAGCCGATTTTCGAGAAGTTAAATAGAATCGAAGATAGTTCGCGACAGATACCGGCAGTGGAGGGAAATTAATCGAATTCGTGGGAGCGAGTCGGGCAGGAAGAATTCGCAGCGGACCGATGGAAGAATACATTTTACCGGGGCATCCATCCTGTAACCGAGTCGAGTCAACTTCCAGCGGAACGATATCCCGGGGACGAAAGTAAGGGATGGGGGTTGAAAGTTGCTCGTAGTACACCGCTATCAGATTTCGAGCGGCTCGATCGCCTGTGAAAGTATCCTCTCGGCAGCCGAGTCTTTCGACCCCCCGCGTCCAAATTCAAGCGTCGTTCCCGGAAATCGACGTTCTTCCGGTACCCACTTTCCACGCGCGATGCAGGAAACCGCGAGTGGAAATAAAACCGTTCCCGGTTTCCACGAGTACAAATGGAAAGAAAAAGCGTTGAAATGGATAAATTGTTCTGGGAGCTACCCTTGAATTTATCTGGGCTCTGATGTCTGCGGCTGCCACCTGGTGGCGTGGACCACTGGAGTCCGTGCTGTCGGTCCTGAGGACCCCGATGGTATATAAAACAGGTCTTTCGTTCTTCAACTACCACGCGTGTCCACGAATAAAAGTCCAATTAAGAGAATTCGTAGAGAATTCCATTTTAATCCCGACTTTTTAATTTGAAATAAAATTACTTTTGAATTTGAAATAAAGCTAACCGAGGTGGGATGCTATTTTCAGAGAAATAAACTACAAATCGGTCAATGATCTATGCAGGGTATTATTCTAGAAAATAAATCGAAAATTAAGTGATACTGTTATAAAAGGCTATTTTTAGAAGCAAAATTAAGCTACGTGATTTTTATGAAAAAATGAAACGTGATCGTTAGAGGGAGCTAATCGCGGACCAAGATGGCGGCATGATTTACGCGAATCGACAAAATGACGTAATTTTTACGAGAGCAAATGACTAATCGGCTGATTCATATTAGTCAATTATCAATTGAGGAAAGCACTTCATCGAGCTTTCAAAGGGCACGAAAACAGGACCCTCTATGACACAGGAACAGTCTTGAATGGAGAAGCCTGGAGGAATCCTCATGTGGGGGCGATCCCTTCCCCTGCATTTTGTCTTTTGTCTCCCGTTTCCTGGAGACGTCTTTCACCTGCGTGGTCCTAAACAGACAGGTCCTAAACAGTTTGTTAATGCTTGAAATATCGTTCCGGTATTCCGTTCATCCCTTTATTTAGGACAGACTATTTATCTAAATGTGAAGACCCTGAAATTTTACAAGTACCAGTGTTGAGGCCCTAGGACCGCAATGTCCCAGGTCAAATGGAGGACTGTTTTATGTCCTTATTGTCAGCGTCCCTTGATTTCTATACACTCGTTATCACCTAAGGCACCACTTGGGTAAACCGTAAGAAGCAACAATATATCACCCTTAAGACGACAGGCATGGGGACCCAGATTGTTTAACCGTTTGAGTGCCACGGGTCATTATTGTTTCCCAATCGATATTTGCCAAGCGGCGCGATAGCGCTTCTCATATTCCGCGTTCACCAACCGAGCGCGCTGATTGTCAGCTTCGCAGCTCAGAGCGCTGGCACTTTTGGACACAAAATAGAAGAAGCGCGATCGCGCCGCTTGGCACTCAAACGGTTAAACAACCACCACCACCGGAAGACGCTGGAGCTAGGATACACCCCCAATATTAGTCGCAATCAATCAGACCACAGAGGAAGCTTACAAAACCACACACAGAACAGTCACGAAGAGAGTTTTACTAAAATACAGTCCACTTAACACTTCGAAGCTAAACATAACCTTCCTCAATGAACCGTCCATCACTAAGTGCTACTACTAAGTGCCACTAAGTCCGTCGCCAACTAAGACCGACCTAGTGACGAGATACACGGTTCTAACCCGTTTAATAAACATCTATACAATTTTTCCAGTGGCTACTATTTCCTTGCATAATAACTCCTGAACAAAACGTAACCTTGGAATCCCTGAAAGAAAGTGTTCAGGATTTATATTACACATTGTCCCATCCTGGGACAAATCCCAAACCCAGACGACCCCGCTACGGTCTTCTGGCAGCCAGATCCTAATTGCTACTTTATTTCAAATTCGGTGTTTTCTATTCCATTTACAATATACTTTTGCAAACTGTTGCAAACCATACTTTGCGAACCTAATGGCTGATAAGACACGATCTTTCTCTGATCCGCAGGTCTCCAAGTCGAACACGCACGACGTGACGTTGACCAACGTGTCTAGGAAGCTGACGGGGGAGTACAAGTGCGAGGTGTCGGGCGGAAGGCCGTCGTATCACACGGATATCAGGAAGGCCCGGATGGAGGTGGTAGGTGAGTGGTGGTCGGCCTGGAGCCGATCGAGAATTAAAAAGTTCCAGCGAGTAGACAAATCCTTCTCGTTGCTGAATCGCGCGGACGCCAGCCCGTAATGCGGCGCACGTGCGCCTCTACGTGCGACCCATTTTCATGACGGATCCGCCGGATCGTGGAAGGCTTCCGGGAAAAACGCGACTCGGCCCTCAGCTACCACGGGAAGAGGAACGTCCCTGCTGGTTCCTTTCCCTGCAACGGAAATCCTAAAGTCGGAGCTTTAATTACCCACGGACTAGGTCCGGTGTCTGGCCAAGTGCATCCTCTTGGCCTCGCAGCCGAAAGTCGAAATTGCGAGACGTGCGATGGTAGTTTCAGCTAATAACTAACGCTATCCTAGTTTAGAGTCAATAATTTCGAGATTAGAGGTATCGAGTTAGGGAACGAAAGCTCGAAGAATGGGATAAAAATTACTTCACAGGCGAAAAATATCTTTCGCGAACTGCACCTTAGAGACCAGTTAGGTTAACTGTGGAATTGAAGGTCCCGTGGGTGCTGGACTTTCGCCTATACTTCTAAATCAACCCCAGAATTGCAACTGGCGACTACTAGGACGTAACTAGTTCGGGTCGTAGCTCACAATTAGCCTCGGACAACTGGAGCTCGTAAATACCAGCGGTTGACAAGCGGAATAAATTTCCAACAGCTATTTTGTTAAGATATATCACCGAGGTTCCTCGCCAAGTGGTGTCAATGGGCTTTTGCTCACCGTTGTATATAAAAGATCCCTAGACCACCTCGGATAATCGTGGCGGAACGATGAACGATTGACAGAGAGTAGAAAAGGGTGTTCTCCTAGGAGCAAACGAGGCCTAACTGTATCCGACGCCTTGAGAATTCCGGCCTAGACGGGATGCGTCGACGCTTGGCTGGCAGCCGGCCAGGCGTCGAGTTAGCAGTCGCGTGCGCTAAATGACGTAATTATTATGCCTCAGATGCGCCGAAAACGGACCCGACGATCGGCATCGAGAAGGAGAGGATCGCGGTGGGCGAGCTGCTCCGGGCGAACTGCACCACCGGCAACTCCAGGCCCGCCTCCGCCATTACGTGGAAGCTGAACGGGGATCTCGTAAGTATATCGCCGTAGCTCTCTCACGCCTTAGCCCCGTCGCTATATACGTCCTCGAGCCGTAGCTACGTGACCTTACTGGATGATTAAAGTTCCACAAGGAACACCATCGCCTCGGCTTCCATCTCGTCCACCCCCGGCCCCTCCGCTCCCTCGCCCACCCCTTCCGTTCCGTTCCATTTACCTTTTCACCCCGTTCGCCGTTCAGGTGCGCTCGTTGACACGAGGTGTTTCTCGCTGCGCGAATTATTTGAAAGGAAACGGTTATGCGCCAGGGGAAAGTCTAGGCACGCGTGATTAGAGGGATACGAGGGTTTAGGCAGCGAGTCGGGTACACCGGTTGGCACAATCTTGCGTACAATAGGGGTTTTATTGCTCGCGAGTGTAATAAACTACGAGTCTGTCGCTGTGACTGGTAGCTTACCAAACTCTCACGAGGAATGGAACAATCTCCAGACTCTAAGGAGGACTTTAATCGTCTTGACAGATTGCGAACCGCGTAAAAATTCCTAAGATATGCATCAGGAACTAAACGTTCTGAGATGACAGTGGGTTGACATCTAAGGTTCATGACAGATGGCACGTGAAAAACGAGAAAACCTGTGTCCCTACACCTATGAACAGTACGCAATGTGGTGACACCATTTAGCACTTTGACTGTCAAATTGGTCATATATGACCAGCCACGATTTTTCCTGTGACAGCACAGTTGTCATTGAAGACTGGTGCACTCATATGCTTCGAATAATAACAATACTCTCGTGGCATCCCGTGTAAGCATGTAAATTTGGTGTGACAGTGAAAGGGTTAAACGAATCGCTCGCGGCGAATTAAAGTGTCATTGGCAGATTTTTCCAATGGACACTGCCAAGAAAAGCGAGGCTAAGCTGGACAAAAACAATTTTCACCGTGGCGCGAGGTAAAAACTACGCTATTGGTTCTCACGCCAGGTTCGGGTTAGGTGCGGCACGGGTGCAATAATAACGGGGCGCGATTATTTCGAGTGAATTATTAATGTTGCCGGGTATCAGCTCGGCCGTGGGTGGCCGCCGCGGACAAACACATATTCGGGCCCATTGTGACGGATTAATTAATTAGTGCAATTTGATGTTCCGCTTATAATTCGCAATTAATTCGAGCGAGCGGACGAATTATTTCGCGTGTACAGGCCGCGTGTAAACAACAGCGAACACGAATGATCGAGCCACGGCTCGGCAACTCCGAGTATTTCGTCGCGTTATCCCTGAGCTGACGAGATCGATCGCGCGAGCACGCGCGAGTAGGCTCGTCTTTCGTTGCCTTGACTCTTAACCCCTTCCCGTGCCATTTAACTCGACGGAACCTGGGCCCAGACGGTAGGCTAGGTCAGACTAGACTGATGCTCGAAAACAGTCGTAATACGAACCAAAATGTAAATATGTGTGGTATAGTCAGTTTTACGCGATCCTGCTGTTGTGGAAGTAAATTCTAATCCTTTTTCCTTTCATAAATATTATAAATATATTATATTTTGTAATAGATGACAGTTTCAAAGTTATGTTTCATTAATAAAGAATACTTTAACCCTTTCGCTGCGAACAGCGCCTTTAGACACTCAGCCATAGTTGCTGTCTTAAAATGAACAATACAGTTGGCAAATAGTTAGCAATAATGCCTATTAACACGTTAAACGTCATACCGATCCCTAGTCCCTAGAAGGGCCCACATGGCGGCTAACTATGGCGTGAACGGATTTTTTCACCTAATCTAGCACTGTGACACTGGGTGCCGAGAGAGCAATTCATTTTTGAGTGCTCCACAGTGAAAGGATTAGTACTTTAGGCCGACTTTCTGTTCACGTGTCTGGCTCGTGATATTCATCTTCGACCCAAAACCTTCATCACGAGTCAGACTCGTTAAACTACGGGAAGCGCTTAAGGACGCTAGAGGAGCGGGTCGTACCCGCGCACCCTCGACTCTCCGATGAATCTCCAGAGAGATCCGATATTAAGGAGAGCTCGATGAAATATACCTCGCTCTTGCACCAACACGATGTAGGATTTTTTGAAAAACTCGAGGAGAGGGTGAAGGATTTGACGAGAATGTCTGCTCCCTACTGTGGCGTATCCACGGTCGGACGATGAAGGGACTGTCGAATGATTGGAGGGCCGTGGTACTTGGAAATTGATGGACCGTTCGACGATCAACGGATTTTTTAACGTAACCGAGGATCGTTCGAGGCAACCGATAGGCCGGGACACAGTGCAGCCAGCCCGAAATTCGCATTTATTTCGATTGCGAGATTTATAAGCTGCGGGGCATTTCTAGACACGTAGAACAGGGTGAGAAACGAGATTACGCGATAGTGGTTATCTCGTTTTGTATTAATACCGGCACACCGATGATCAATTTCGCCCCGCTCGTCGTGTGATATTGATCGATGCGTGCGGCTCACGATGGCGCACTTTGATAGCGCGGAATTAATTGGATCGGCGATCTCGACGGGGAAGATTAATTTTGGCAACGGACGAAGGCAGCAAGCGGAGGATTTTATTTCGGGCCTAGGCAAGTATTCGCCCGGGGTGCCATAGAGACGGGTACGGTCCTGCCGAGCGTGGAAGACGCACGCCTCTGACATCGGATAACCAATGGAAGGCTGACGATAAACTAATGAATGTCGTTTCCTCTGTTACACCTCTTATATGCCCTCGAATAACCCTGTCCAGGACTTTAATGGACGTCGTTCGTCTCCCGAGCAGTCTCCCCGACACGAATCTGGAAGAACGCTACCCGATGGAGATCCGGGGTGGAATTTGATACCTGGAATCCAATTTAGCGGAAATATCGCCTACAGTGACGATGAAACGGGTCCGGGGGTAGCGAAGATTTTCGAATTAAAAATAATTTCACCCTAGAAATCGCCAAATTGCGCTTATTTGTTACGTAATGGCCACTATAAATGCAAAACAGGTACCCAGGCGCTGGGAAACATCGGATGCCAGCGAATTATCTGCATCAGAGATAATTGAAATGAGATTAGGCGAAACGATATCACTGCTTCGCAGGTATTAAAACAGTCGAGCCTAGGAGGACCAGCGTTTTGGCTATCGAAATAGGAATTCGCGATATTTTTCCAGGGACGAGACTTTCGAGTGTCGTACGGATCTCGATTTGGAACAAATGCTTCCATTTCTGGGTACTAGGTACCGGCAATTATTAATAATTCGTTGGAAATGTTCGTTACAATTGTATCGAATATTCAGAGATATTAATGCAACGAGTTTAATCGAAATTTCGATATTATCGATGGGAAAGAACCGATGGAAAAATATCGTTACTCTAGGCACGATCCAGTGGAGAAGAATCGCAATGGCGGTGAAGAAGGGTGAGGAAGACAAGGGACGGAGGTGGTGCCTGCGTCCTCGTCGCGATCGAAAACATATAACTCACCGGGGCCATAGTGATCGATTAAACGCGTCGGGCCGCGGCGGTGCTGCGATTTAACGGAATAATTTGGTTGATTTAACAAATACCGCGGAATAACGATTTATTTGCATACGAGGCATCGCGAGCCACCGGGTTCCACCCCTTCTCCCTCCCACTGGTCGCGTATCGAAACCTCCGCCGATTGGCCGGATACGTATCTCGATGGATCTCGATAAATTTCATTCCCGCGGCTATGCCGGTGCCACCGCGAAAGCTCGGCTCGTCGTTGAAATGCGAAATGACCAGGTAGTTACAGCAGCGGGTGTTGATTGAAAAACAAAACCGGATCGAAGGCGTCGGAGATGGCCGGAAATTGAATACAACCGGGACGATGTAACAGGATCGACCAGGAACCGAATATTTCATGAAAATTCTCTGATCTTGGAAAACCTGACTGTTGATTCCCTCTACTCATTCGTAAAGATCCAAGGCCCGGACTGAGGTTATTCCTTTATTACCAGCGTCCCACGACTCGTAGGCAAACTGGCCCTCGAATACCACTCGAGCTAATTCTTAGTAAAATATTGAAAATCCTCAATAGACGAACCGACAATTATCCCAAATTCATTTGAACCTTCGTCTTCATCCAAAAACCCGAATTTAACCGCGTGAGTGCCAAGCAGCGATTTTGCGCTTCTTCTGTTTCGCTAAAAAGTGTCAATGCTGTAGGCTGTCAAGCCTACAATCGCGACACGCTCGGTTTCTGTCCATGCACGACTTTACATGCCAATTTATTAAAATACGTAGACACGAGGACTCGGATAAAAACAAACCAAACGCGGTCACTCTTGTATTATATTTAATAAACCCTCACAACTCCTGTCGTCTAGTTTGCGTTTATAAAAGGACCTTCCTTTTACAGAAGAATTGAGACGAAACACTGACGATGGCTCTAAATACAATGACGATAGAGATTCCTCAATTTCGAAGAGACAGATGAAGTGTCAAATGAATAACTATATTAGGTTAGGGTTGTTTAACCCTGCAAGCCTGTGGCCCTCGCGTGAAACCCTAAGAGGATTGCTCCTTGACAATTAGAAAATCGTCATCCACGTTAATATTCTAGGGATTGACAGTGATGGTAATTTATTAATAAATTATAACTGTGCACGAGTGACGATCAAACGTACGAATTATCTCTTTACAAGAATCTAGATCGATTTCCAGCTTAATCTCTTGCGGTGGCAAGAAATTCGCAGATGCGTGTGCCAGAACGGTCCAGTGTTTCTGTAACAATTGTCTAACGACGAGTATACCACGTCGTTGGTGATTCTATGACAAAAGCATTACGACGTGTGTGACACGACTTTCCAGCGCAAGTGGTTAATACAGCGTTCAACTTGACAACTCAATTCGCAACAACTAGTCCACTCCAAACTGTCTACAAAAATTATCCCCCGACCACTCTTAACCTTCTTTATATATCTTTCTCGTCGTGCACGCGTTTTCTGGTCTCCCTTAACACGACCACATATGGTCACATATATGGACACATTGGCCATATATCCGAGCACATTGACCACATGGCTATATGG